GTTTTCTTTTCCAAACCATAAACTCTCTCTCTGTCTCTCTCTCCTTTTCCCTTTTGGGATGGGAGAGGGGTTGACAAAGAGCATCTGTCATTCGTTAGTGGCCGGCCCAGCCTCAAACCATGACAGCTCCCCAGCATCACTCCCCAGCATCTTCTTCAGTTCTTCTGCCACATATATGTGCTCTCTCCTTTTTCTAGTGCATATATAGATGGTGTGCTGTATATGGCTGTGTGTACCAGGGAGGGGTGTGCATTGGCACACAGGAGCAGATGGGAGTGTCCTTTAGGAAGGCATGAGATGTGAGTTGAGACACCAGAAAGACCTGGCTGTCAGACGGGATCTGTCACCAAGCAGACGGGATCATCACCGAGCAGCAAGGTGGCCTGAGCCTCACCCCGGCTGCGTGGGCACCACTGAGGAACCATGGGGTCATCCAGCAGGACGGGTGGGCAGCACTGAATAGGGCTAGCCCCAAGGAACTGCCCTTTGGTTGCAGGAAGGTCATGCAAGCGATGCTCTGCAGATTGGTGGTTGGCTGTGGGCAGTTACCCTGCATCCCAGGGGGTGGTTGCCCCGCCTGGGATCAACTGACAGCTCTAACCCACAGGTTGCAGAAATGAGGCCTGTTATCCTGGAGTGACAAATACTTTGCAAAATATCACACTCTTCCCACCCTGCTCAAGAGAAGCAGACCTTCCTTTGGCTGTGCAGGAAGTGGTGGTGTAATTTCTGCCTTTCCATTCTGCTTGTAAATATAAATTGCACCCCCATTTCTCAAGCCCCCTGACACTTTCTCTATTACCTTGAGCATCTTTCTGACAACCTGGATGTCTTTCAGCAGGCCTTGTGTGAGCGGACACACCGGCTGCTGGTATTCCTGTGGGCATGGCAGGTATTTCTCTGCACAGTCCAGCAGTGGGAAGCTCTGAGGGACCAGACACCAAGCGGGTGTTCTCTTCCCAGCCCCTTGGGAAGGCGTTGGGCTTCCCCCACTGCAGCGGAAACCTGCCCCTGGCCATGGCTTTGGTTGGCCAGACTCGATGCTGGCAGGGGACAGTCCCTGCACGTGGTCCCAGAAATGCAGCAGGATGGACAGCCAGACGGTCCCTGGGTTATTTGGAGACGATTGCTTCACTGAGTCTGTTTGTCAGTGGATGACAAGAGGTCTCTGCCCCTCCATCCTCTTGCCTTTGGTGGAGGTGAGTTTTCAGGAGAGGGGAAAGCAGAGAGGAGCCAGTGGATCCCGGTTTTCCTGACTGTGAGAAGACCAAAGGCATCCCTGTCTCTCCCCATCAGGCTGGGTGTTGCATGCTTAGCCAGCAGATGAGCATTTCTCCTTTTTTTTAAGCACTATTTGGACAGGATGGGGATGATTTTATTTGTTGCTGGCAAAAACTAATTGTCAGGGCATGACTATGAATGGTCATCCACCCATGCAGAGGCAGGCAGTGAGACCTCCTTCAGGTTTATTAAGTGTGGCACGAGCGTGGGTAGGACAGATTTTTTTTCTTGTTTTCTACCATCTCAGAAAAATTATTGCTCTTTGCTGATTCCCGCTTGGCTAAAAAAAAAAAAAAAAGAAATGTGGACAACAGGTTAATCAAATGTTTCATTCGAAACCTCAGTTCTTGGCAGGAGAAGGAGGGGAGAACAACCCAAAGTGTTAAAGCAGAGGGCAGGGAGGTCTGAATGCAGTCTTCTTGCTCAGGAAAGTTATTTTATTTGCTTTAAACTTGACCAGATCTATAGAAGATTAAAAAAAAAGTGAGGCTCATGGATGTGCATCTGTCAGTGGGCAGCCTGCCTGAGGGCATGGGCAGCCATCACAGAGAGCTGCTCGGGGCAGTCTGGTTACTGCCAGGCTGGATCACGGCCCCTTGGAGAGGGCTGGAGATGGCCATGAGGGTGGACGAGCAGCTTCTCTTGGCCCTCAGCATGTCACAGGAGATGCCTGAGGGTTTGCCAGGTCCCTTGTTGCTCACAAACTTCTTTTGTCCCCATCCTGGAGTCAGGCACAGAGAAGAGTCAGGTCTGCAGGGACGGGCTGCACTGCTTGTGGGGAAACTGGGTCCTGTCCAAACTACCTACCACTGACTCCATGTTTTCTCATCTTGGCAAACTGCAGCTTAGGAAGTTCGGATGCACGAACATTTCCCGTGTATGCCTCTTGAACCTAGATAAATATTTGGGACTGTGCTCCTTGGGCTTGCTGAAATCAGCCGGAGGATCGGTAGTTGTCTGCATGCACAGACGTGGGAGCAGAGGACTAGGTTGTCCAGCTCCTACCGTCACAGGCGATTGCGATGTAGGATGACCTTTGCGAACATCTCTTAAAGTTAGAGAGGGGGAAAAGCTGTGCAGCAAGTTTGGCTGTGAACTGAAGATGGTGAGTGAGGGAAGATGCCTGGAATTTGTGTAGTATCGAGTAACTAGACCTGTGTGGCATTTCTGCTGTGAATCCTTTTTCTTCTTTTGATGTGAGTTTTTAGGAAAATACAGTGGGGAAAAGGGATGATTTTGAAGTATTCCCTCAAAATCTTCCTACTTGCCCCAAGCAGTCCGTGGGGACATGCAGTGTTACTTGCCTGAGCTGGGCTCAGAGGTCCTTCAGTCACGTCCTACAAGAACATGGTAGAATCTGAAAACCACTTGCGAGTCCCGCCACATGCAGGGCATTGTAGACTAGGATGACTAAATGAGGCTGTGCATCATTCAGTGTCACAGATCATGGGCCCAGGGGTAACATCCTTTAACAGGGGACATTGCCAGGTGCATATTCCCTCCTAACAACTAAGGAAGACCCCAGAGGAGTTGTCTGTGGTGCCTGGAATCTCTCTCAGGATCTTAGTAAGTCATGGTCCTGCTTCAAGAGTAGAGCCTAGTTCATGTCACATTTATTCACTCTTCATAACTTGTAAGAGACTCTTTTATTTCCCCAAAAGCACATTCATCAAGGCTGTGCAGCCAAAACTTCAAGGGCACTGTAGAGTCGGTACACAAGAAATCTGGATGTAAAATTTCAGTGTGGTTTCTGTGAAGCTGATAACCACAAGACTGATGCAGTATCACAGGGACAGAGTTTGGTCACAGGCAGATGGTGTAACGTAGATCACGTATAAAACATGCTAGTTCAATTCATCAGGTAACATTCTCATAGCTGGAGCTGTCAGCAGTGAGCTCAGAATGTAGAAAGTCATGCTTATATTGATAAAAAGTAATGCAGGAGCTCAAGGGCGCTTCAGAGGTGGTTGGTCATGAAGGGCAGGGGATATTAACGCTATTTCTACTAATCTGCTGTGTTTGTTTCACTTTTTCCCCGCCTTCCAGGACCAGGAAGAAAATAAAGGAGCAACCAGCTGGCCAGAGTTTTATATCGATCAGCTGAATTCAATGGCTGCTGTAAGTAGTTT